GAATGACCTAGACCGAGGTGTGGCATAGCTAGGCCAAGCATTATCCTTCCTAGCTGAGATCATTGAGACCTTACTTGCCGAAGCCTATGTCTTGACCCGAGGTCATTACGTACCGGAGTACCCATGTCACCTTACTTGTTATGCATACTTTGTCATGCACTTGTCTTATCATTCTGTCACCTTTTTCAGGAAACCCAATCCGGCAGCGCCACGTGTCCCAGCAGAGGTTTAAGTCAGGTGCTAGCTGAGAAACCCGTATCACTTTGTCATATCCTAGCCTTGTAGAGAGAGAAGCTCTAGGAAGAGAGGAAGAAGGGTTCTTAGAGGGAGAATAGATTTCCAAGCTTGATCCTTAGAGTTTGAACCGTTGGATTCGTGTTTTGAGGTTAGATTCTTGTTTTGCTCTTGTTGTTCTTTATGTTCATCTAACTACATTGCATGGTCTAGCATGATTCATGAGCCATGCATTGCTTTGAAATTCAGTTTTAGAAAGAGAAAATGATGTTCTTGTGTTCTTGAAAGAAAATCATGTTTTGATCCGAAAGTTTGTATCAAGATCCATGTTTTTGTGTTTGTTTTCATAAGATCTTCAAGTATGGGTACCCAAGTCCATGTTTTTGAACTCATCTCATGAAATCTCAGATTTTGTAATAACAAGTTAAGCTTTTAGCGTTCATGTTCTTTGTGTTCTTCATGTTCATGTTCTTCATGCTCCTCGAAGGGAAACCCAGATTTTCCCGACTTCATTTCCTTGAATGTGGTCATCGGGACCACACCTCGGCCAAGACCTGGTTGGTGCCCAGCATGTTTTCCCGAGATGAAAAACAGTGCTTGATTCCCAGCACATGATTGCTTTGTTTTGACTTGTTTTGGAAAGAAATGCCGAGAACATTCACACTCATGAAAAGCTTGTTTTAAGAATGCATTTCATACCCATCCCTGAGCATCTCTTCTTGTCTTCTTGAAATGCATTCAATGGGATTTATTATGTGCTTGTAGGCCTTGGATCCTTGCTTGTAATCCCCACACCCGAAGAGTTATACGAGTGGTATTTTTAATAAAGCTATGTTATAAAGTTTTGATAAGCTTTGTTTCGTTTTGGAAAAGTATTTGATCAAGCATGAATGATTATCTCTAGTTTTGTATCAAGTATTATATTTGTTTTGATGACATTCTTGAAAAGTCCTTAGTGCTAGGGGACTATAATGCGACTAGTACCCTTGTTTTGAAAGTCCTTAGTGCTAGGGGACTATAATGCAACTAGTACCCTTGTTTTGAAAGTCCTTAGTGCTAGGGGACTACAATACAACTAGTACCCTTGTCTTGCCACCAATGGTTTACCCCGTGGGTTTGTCCGAAATGTCATCCTTTGTGTTATATTGATGCTAGTAAGCATCCCTTGAAGTTTTGAAAGACTTGATAGATGAACTTGGTTCATCCCTTGTTTTTGTACAAGTTATGCTATGTATTGTTTTGATAAAGATCTCAAATATCATTCATCTTAAACCTTTATTTTTAATATCATTCACTGAGTATCCAAGTTCACCGTCTGCTTATATATATGTTGGTGAAGAGTAAGAAGGCGGTGACGCCTAGATGACTATTTGCAAGTTGTTGGATTAATATTTTGTAGCATCTTGAAGATTATGCTTCTTGCCCTGGCCATTGTAGTTCGTTTTGTATATGTCGGCTTGAGAAGACTTTTGATCACGATGTAATATGTATTTGTTTTATTTGTAGTCAAGTTGTAAAACCATGTTATGTATGACATTTCATTTGATCTATGCACAGCTCTTGTGGACTATTTAGATTTAAATTTATTGCTTCCGCACATGTAAGCCCCATATGTATACCCTGATTATGTGTGAATCTTTGTAAGCTGGCCTTTGGTAATCTTGGATTACTGGCCATCATGGCACCATTCTACTAGGGGCGGAATGGGGTCGTGACAGATTGGTATCTGAGCACCGGTTCCTTATAGTACGTTATTCACACACCTTGAGTCCTAAAGAGTATAGGATGTTCCTTAGAATGATGTTAGGACTGCATCATATTGCTTGCTATTCGACAAGGTGTGCATCATTTCGGCATAATCATTTGTTACTTGCATACATGTCTATTTACTCATTTTGTTTTAAAGTCATATTTTGCATACACTTACCATCATGAGAAGGGGTAGACCTCCAGTTGGCCGAGATCATTCCAAGGACAGATTGGACAGATTAGAAAGATTGGTCGAAGGTTTGGTCCGTGAGTTGAGACAACCTAGGCCGCAAGCCACTAGCACCACCTCTACTCAGGCCGAGCAGACCAACGGCCGAAATGCAGTTCCGCCTCCACCTCCTCCAGTACCACAAGTGCCTCCACAGCCAGCTTTATATGGGAACGGTACGATAATTTTGATCAAAGAGTTCAAAAAAATGAACCCGCCGAGATTCCAAGGGGGGATCGAGCCGATGAAAGCCGAAGCATGGGTTTTGGAGATGGAGAAGCTGTTCGAGATTTTTCCCAGCACCGATGCCCAGAAGGTGTCGTTAGTAGCATTCACGTTGGATGACAATGCTCGAAGATGGTGGATGATGATCAGAGAAGGCAATCCAGGTTTAACTTGGGCCAGATTTTTAGAGTTGTTTTATAACAAGCATTTTCCCCTTAGTGTTCGAGATCGCAAGACCACGGAGTTCCAGACTCTAACACAAGGCAACAAGACAGTGGCAGAACACGACCGTGCATTTACCGAATTGGCGAGATATGCGCCTCACATGGTCAATGACAAATATAGAAAAGCTAGGAAGTTTGAAAGTGGATTGCGTGGACCGATACAGGATCAAGTTAACATGCTCAACATGCAGACTTACGCCGGAGTGTTGGACAAGGCCATCCTAGCAGAAGCTAACTTGAACCGATACGAGAGTTCAGCAGAGAGCTAGAGGAAGAGACAAAACTATGAGAATCGCCGAGTACCGTTTAATGCCAAGAAGAAGGCGAATATGGGCAGTTCCAGTAACTCAAATCAGGAAGGTGATGCTAAGCCGACGTGTGCAAGTTGTCTGAAGCCACATTTTGGAGTCTGTCGTTGGGCATCAGGAGCTTGCTTTCAATGTGGCGAGATAGGTCATCGTGTGAAGGACTGCCCGAAGACAAAGGCTGACGATGGTAAGAAGAATGGGAACACTTCGAGCTCTGCACAGAAAAACAACGTCGGAAGGGCGTAGGTGAGGCAGGGCAGAGTTTTTGTATTAATGCCAGGAGACACCCAGAGTGCCGAGACAGTAGTGTCAGGCACCCTTCCAATTTTCTCTCAAGATGCATACATATTGATTGATTCGGGTTCTACACATTCATTTGTATCTGCCAAATTTGCCGAGAAGTTGAATAGGGAACTAGAGCCCCTTGGTTATGTGTTATTTGTGTCTACTCCATCTGGGAGAACTATGACTGTTGCATCCATTTATAGGGCATGTGTTGTTGTAATCGAGGATGTAGAGTTATTAGTTGATTTGATGTCGTTGAACATAACTCACTTTGATGTCATATTGGGAATGGATTGGTTAGTAGGAAATCATGCATCCATTAACTGTGTTTTCAAAAGTGTCACATTAAAACCCCCAAACAAAACCGAGGTCACATTTCAGGGTAAAGGGGTAGTATCTCCACCTTACTTGATCTCATCCATGAAGGCCTAGAAGTTGATTCAAAAAGGTGTCAAGGTTATTTGTGTAGTATACTGAGCAATCAGAGTGGAAACGCTGAATTGGCCGACAACCCAGTTGTTAAGGAATTTCTTGACGTCTTTCCAAATGACTTGCTGGCTGCTTAGTCGATAGAGAAATAGAGTTTACTATTGACATCATGTCGGGAACCCAACCTATCTCCAAAACACCCTATAGAATGCCCCCAGCCGAGCTTAAGGAGTTGAAGCTGCAATTACAAGAGTTGTTGGACAAGGGCTTTATTAGGCCGAGCACTTCACCTTGGGGAGCACCAGTCCTATTTGTGAAGAAAAAAATGGTACACTTCGTCTCTGTATTGATTACCGAGAACTGAACAAGGTAACCACTAAGAATAAGTACCCATTGCCGAGGATCGATGATTTGCTTGATCAACTACAAGGAGCACGAATCTTTTATAAAATTGATCTCAGGTTGGGCTACCATCAGCTGAAGGTTAAAGCCGAGGATGTTGAGAAGACTGCTTTTCGGAGAAGATATGGCCACTATGAATTTTTGGTAATGCCTTTTGGAGTGACTAATGCTCCTGCAGCATTCATGGATTTAATGAACAGAGTCTTTAAGCCATACCTAGATGAGTTCGTGATTGTTTTCATCGACGATATATTGATCTATTCCAAGGGTAGTGATGAGCATGAGAGACATCTGAGACTTGCCTTACAAATTCAAAGAGATAGAAAATTATATGCCAAGCTTAGCAAGTGTGAGTTTTGGCTTTCCAACATTTCATTTTTGGGGCATGTAATTAATGAAGAAGGTATCTCTGTTGATCCACGTAAGATTGAAGCCATTGTGAATTGGCCGATGCCAACTAACGTGTCCGAGGTTCATAGTTTTCTGGGCCTGGCAGGTTATTACAGAAAGTTTGTGAAGGATTTCTCAAGGATTGCAGTACCATTGACACAATTGACTCAGAAGGGAGTGACATATGAATGGACCGAGGATAGAGAATCAGCCTTCCGGGAGCTCAAGATGAGGTTAGTTACAGCACCAGTTCTTGTACTACCATCAGGTAATGAGGAATTTCAGATTTATAGAGATGCTTCACATAAGGGTTTGGGTTGTGTATTAATGCAAGGGGGTAAAGTCATAGCATATGCATCTCGTCAATTGAAACCTCATGAAAAGAATGATCCTACCCATGATTTAGAACTAACAGCCGTAATGTTTGCCTTGAAAATTTGGCGCCATTACTTGTATGGAGCTTCTTGCCAAGTTTTCACCGACCACAAGAGTCTGAAGTACTTATTTACTCAGAAAGAATTGAATATGAGGCAACTTGAGTTATTGAAGGACTACGACATGCAGATCCAGTATCATCCAGGCAAAGCCAACTCAGTGGCCGACGCTTTGAGCAGGAAGTTAGTTGGGAGTTTGGTATGTTTGTCAACGATTTTAGTAGAGCCGACGATTATTGAGGAAGTGAAGACCAGACAGAGGGAAGGTGAATTCTTCGAGAAGGTAATTGATGAGTTTGTCACCAAGCCGAGGTCAGGGTACACCATTGAGAATCAGGTGTTTAAGTTCGAGGGAAGGTTGTGCGTAGCCGACGTCCCAGAGTTGAAGAGGAAGATTTTGCAGGAATCCCATGGTTCCAGATTTTCCGTTCATCCAGGAAATACCAAGATGTACTAGGATGTGAAGCAGACTTTTTTGGTGGCCAAATATGAAGAGAGAAATAGCCGAGTTTGTATCTCAGTGTCTATATTGTCCACAAGTGAAAGCAGAGCATCAGAGGCCAGCAGAACTTCTTCAACCTTTGTTAATTCCTGAGTGGAAATGGGAATACATTTCCATGGATTTTGTGATCGGCTTGCCGAGGACACAAAAGGGTATGTATTCGATTTGGGTGATAGTTGACAGATTAACCAAGTCAGCACACTTCTTGCCTGTTAAGGCTACATTTAATGCTGACCGACTTGCCTTGTTATATATGAATAAGATTGTTAGACTTCATGGAACGCCGATGTCCATCGTGTCAGACTGAGATCCGAAGTTTGTTTCTAGATTTTGGCAGAGTCTACAAGGAGCTTTGGGAGCCGAATTGAGGTTTATCACAGCTTTTCATCCCTAGACTGACGGGCAAACAGAAAGAACGATTTAGACACTTGAAGGTATGCTCAGATTATGTGTATTGGACCTCAAGGGAAGTTGGGAAGAGCATTTGCCATTGATAGAATTTGCCTACAACAACAGTTATCAAGCAAGCATTGGCGTGGCACCTTATGAAGCTCTGTATGAAAAGAGGTGCAGATCGCCGATATGTTGGACCGAAGTAGGAGACAAAGCTTTAATCGGCCCCGAACTGATTCAAGTGACAACTGAGAAAATTAAACTTATCCGACAAAGAATTAGGACTGCTCAGAGTCGACAGAAGAGTTACGCCGACCAGAGAAGAAGAGAGTTGGAATTTGAAGTTGGGGATCACGTATTCCTGAAGATTTCGCCGATGAAGGGAGTTTCAAGATTTGGGAAAAAAGGTAAATTAGCACCTCGTTATATTAGACCATTTGAAATCCTTGAAAGAGTTAACCCAGTTGCTTATAGACTTGCTTTGCCGCCAGAACTAAGTCAAGTCCACAATGTGTTTCATATTTTGATGTTGAGGAAGTATATTCGGGATCCATTGCAAGTGATTGATCATTTCGGGATTGTGATTAATGAAGATTTGGGTTATGAGAAGAGGCCGATATGGATTCTTGATAGGCAAGTGAAACAGTTGACGAACAAGTCAATACCGATGGTGAAGATTGAATGGAAAGAGCATTATGGCAAGGATGTTACTTGGGAAATGGAAGAAGAAATGAAAATCCGACATCCAGAGTTGTTTGTGGGACGAGGTAGCTTAAGTTTGGGGACTAAACTTCCTTTAGGGGGGTAGGATGTAACAACCCTCGCTTCACCTTGGTCGTGCTCACATGCATACACATGAATTTGTTTTGTTAAGTTGCATCTACAGACCTTAATTTGTTTTGTCTGAGTGTTGCTTGCATGTTTTGTTTCTCGCTTGGTGTGCGTTAAGCTGAGGTCATCTTAAGCCGAGGTCACACCTTCGACCTCTTACACCTAGGACCATCTTGGAACCACTTTGGTTGACCTCCACCTTTACTCTGGCATATTGACCGAGATGTCATTATCTAGGCCGAGGTGTTCATCACCAAGGCCGAGATGTTTATTATCTAGGTTGAGATGTTATCCTTGCACATAAGTGCTCTTGTACCTAGACTGGAATGACCTAGACCGAGGTGTGGCACATCTAGGCCGAGGTATGGCACAGCTAGGCCAAGTGTTATCCTTCCTAGCTGAGATCATTGAGATCTTACTTGCCGAAGCCTATGTCTTGACCCAAGGTCATTACCTGCCGGAGTACCCATGTCACCTTACTTGTTATACACACTTTGTCATGCACTTGTCTTATCATTTTGTCACCTTTTTGAGGAAACCCAATCCGGCAGCGCCACGTGTCCCAACAAAGGTTTAAGTCAGGTGCTAGCTAAGAAACCAATATCACTTTGTCATATCCTAGCCTTGTAGAGAGAGAAGCTCTAGGAAGAGAGGAAGAAGGGTTCTTAGAGGGAGAATAGATTTCCAAGCTTGATCCTTAGAGTTTGAACCGTTGGATTCGTATTTTGAGGTTAGATTCTTGTTTTGCTCTTGTTGTTCTTTATGTTCATCTAACTACATTGCATGATCTAGCATGATTCATGAGCCATGCATTGCTTTGAAATTCGGTTTTAGAAAGAGAAAATGATGTTCTTGTGTTCTTGAAAGAAAACCATGTTTTGATCCGAAAGTTTGTATCAAGATCCATGTTTTTGTGTTTGTTTTCATAAGATCTTCAAGTATGGGTACCCAGGTCCATGTTTTCGAACTCATCTCATGAAATCTCAGATTTTGTAATAACAAGTTAAGCTTTTAGCGTTCATGTTCTTTGTGTTTTTCATGTTCATGTTCTTCATGCTCCTCGAAGGGAAACCCAGATTTTCCCGACTTCATTTCTTTGAATGTGGCCATCGCGACCACACCTCGGCCAAGAGGTGTGGGACCTCAGGCAAGACCTGGTTGGTACCCAGCATGTTTTCTCGAGATGAAAAACAGTGCTTGATTCTCAGCACATGATTGCTTTGTTTTGACTTGGTTTTGGAAAGAAACGTCGAGAACATTCACACTCATGAAAAACTTGTTTCAAGAATGCATTTTATACCCATCCTTGAGCATCTCTTCTTGTCTTCTTGAAATGCATTCAATGGGATTTATTATGTGCTTGTAGGCCTTGGATCCTTGCTTGTAATCCCCACACCCGAAGAGTTATGCGAGTGGTATTTTTAATAAAGCTATGTTATAAAGTTTTGATAAGCTTTGTTTCATTTTGGAAAAGTATTTGATCAAGCATGAATGATTTATCTCTAGTTTTGTATCAAGTATTATATTTGTTTTGATGACATTCTTGGAAAGTCCTTAGTGCTAGGGGACTATAATGCCACTAGTACCCTTGTTTTGAAAGTCCTTAGTGCTAGGGGACTATAATGCAACTAGTACCCTTGTTTTGAAAGTCCTTAGTGCTAGGGGACTATAATGCAACTAGTACCCTTGTCTTGCCACCGACGGTTTACCCCGTGGGTTTGTCCGGAATGTCATCATTTGTATTATATTGATGCTAGTAAGCATCTCTTGAAGTTTTGAAAGACTTGATAGATGAACTTGGTTCATCCCTTGTTTTTGTACAAGTTATGCTATGTATTGTTTTGATAAAGATCTCGGATATCATTCATCTTAAACCTTTATTTCTAATATCAATCACTGAGTATCCAAGCTCACCCTCTCTTTATATATATGTAGGTGACAAGCAAGAAGGCGGTGACGCCTAGATGATTATTTGCAAGTTGTTGGATTTATATTTTGTAGCATCTTGAAGATTATGCTTCTTGGCCTGGCCATTGTAGTTCGTTTTGTATATGTCGGCTTGAGAAGGCTTTTGATCAAGATGTAATATGTATTTGTTTTATTTGTACTCAAGTTGTAAAACCATGTTATGTATGGCATTTCATTTGATCTATGCACAACTCTTGTGGACTATTTAGATTTAAATTTATTACTTCCACACATGTAAGCCCCATATGTATACTCTGATTGTGTGTGAATCTTTGTAAGTTGGCCTTTGGTAATCTTTGATTACTGGCCATCATGACACCATTCTACCAGGGGCGGAATGGGGTCGTGACATGATTTCCCCCCACCTCCCCCAACCCCCTTTTATTTTTTTGTTCTTACTTCCCGAACTGACTAAATTGAAATGTACTGAACTGGCCCTATGCACATCGGTTTAGTTAGGCTGTTTAATTGTTGTGTTCTGTTTTAGTGTTAATTTTCAAAAAACCGATAGAATGTGTAGTGCACTATTTTTGGGTTTGGCATGTCTAGTAGATGAATCTATAAAGTATATTTAGTTTTTCTCAAGAATGGTTTGGAACTTTGACGTGGACATGTAAGAATAATCCTGCACCTTCATTGATGAATCTTTAAAGTTCTTCACTTTTACTGATGTTTGAATCTCAAACGCAGGGTGGTGTTGAAGATGTATACTATGAAAGACTCAAGCACTGGTTGGAAATTTATAGGAGGCTTATATTCATTATTTCTCTGTTTTTCAATGTGAATCCTGGATATCTAAGTTGTTTGTGGGAATTTTTTTTTCTTTATTCGAGTGTGAAGATTAATATTTTGTTTCTTCGCTAAGACAATTTATTACTTTAGTATTTTAATGCAATGTGTGTTGAATGAAATGTATTTTCATTCTTGTCTTCTTTATGTAATCAAATGAAAATTGCTATCACATCGATAGCAGTCAGGTAATTAACATTTGGATTTTACTCTTTTCTAATCATTTTTTTGTTACACTTTTCCGTTGAGGATTATATATTCAGGTATGATAAATAAATTCAAACTTTTTTATTATCACAACTCATGTGAGTTTTGATCGTCACTCAATTTTGATAAACGAAAGATGAATTGAATATTATTTTAGCCACAGGTGTAGAATATGTGCTCAATTCAGCGATAAAAAATAAAATTTCTAAAGTAATCCTGCAAAAGACTTTTTCCAATCATAACAAAATAATAATAATAATAAGTAAAGACAAGAGTGGGAAGTAGTACTCTTTAATTGGTGAAAAATCAAGCATTAAACACACTTGTACGCGCACAAAAAATTCGATACTTGATGATGAGAAAATTTAATGAAGGTGATTAGAACCATCACGTGATTGACATCCATAAGTAAAACCACCCCAGTCGACAAACAGACACCCCAGCAACCAAATGGCCACGGGTCTTTCAACGTTTTTATATTTAATAGACAACGTACTTCAACCCCAAGGGTGGTCCATTTATAATAATTTAGTATCTTACCTAACAAGTGGTCTGAGTGCTCGAGGAGTCTTTTCTCAAACAATTTTCAATTCATATTAATGCAAACTCATCTCACGATAAAAACTTCTCCGTATATAAATGTAGTGTTTTATTGGATTTGGGATGACTGCTGTATTGGGGGCATAGCAGTCACTACTGTACAGACAAATGGGCTCATTTTGATGATTTGAACCGTTCACATTGTAGAATACATCGAGTAAAACCTG